GCCCATGTCCAGCAATCACTGTGCGAGGGGCGGGGTACACCCTGGACGGGTCGCAAGTCCATCACAGGGCCACATAGAGACAAACGAGACAAACAACCATTCACTCTCTCACTCACACCTAGGGACAATTTATAGAGTTACCAATCAGCCTAACATGCATGTTTTTGGTCTGTGGGAGGAAACCGGAGTACCCGGAGAAAACCCACGCATGCACGGAGAGAACATGCAAACTCCACCCAGAAGGCACCTGGACCGGGGTTTGAACCAGGGACCTGTTCGCTGAGAGGCAGCAGCTCTACCAGTTGTGCCACCGTGCTGCCAGCTATTCAACCACCAGAGTAAATATAATTCATGCATTTGTGCAGATATTGAGGTAAAATTATGTCTGGTAGTAGCTACAAGTCATCCCCATCACACACTCTGAGCACTGACAAACTGCAACAAATGATGATCTAAAGCTTTGGCAGGCAAAGGGTATATGTGTGGAATGTATTGTTTCAAGGAACAATGCCTTCATTTACATTTGCCTAATTAGTGAAGCATTGTTTAACTTACCATAACTAAAGGTTTCTAAATTGTTTGTGAATTTAAATGTGTTCTTTTTATAAAGCTCTGGCTATATTATTCTGGGCAGTGTAGTAAGTCACCCATGTCAAATCAAAGCAACAGTCTTTGGTCACGCAGCCATTTTTGTTGTTCTAGGAATGAAAACTGAACAAGTAGAGCCCTGATGGGTGAAGAGGCCATCTGCAAAACACATCAACCATGCTACAGGTTGGAAAAAAAGCAAGAGCTAAAACAAAAGTTATGCGTGTTGTTTTCAGAAGTGTAGACTATATTTGCTAAAATACATTTTATTTATTTTTATTTATTTATTGTATTCTTATCCTGATGCATGCTCAATAATCCAGGTAGAAAAATCTAAAAAAGTTAAATCTGGTCCTCTGGACATTCAAAAAAAAACAAAACAAAGCAAATCAACAAAAAAATGTAGAAACGTTTCGTCTCTCATCCGAGAGACTTCCTCAGTCTGAGGTGCTGTATTCAGCTCAGTCTCTTAAATAGCACCGTCTCAGGGTGGATCAACCAGTTTTGCTGCTGACAACCAAAACCAGCTGATCACATGCTCAAGAAGGACCATCAGCCTAACAATGGATCATTAGCACACTGATGGCTGTTTACTGTTCACAGAGGGCTGAGTGATACTAGCAATCACAGCATTGTAAGAGGGGGACAGTTGAACCCGGAGGCCTCCACCCCTGTTTAA